TTCTTAAAGGACTCAGTGTACTCTCTGGAAGGTGAGTCCTGAGTGTACTCAGAAAGTGCCCAGGTGAATGTCCCATGGGAGAACCAATCCCTGATGATGGAGAACATTATGAGGCCAGGCCAGCCCAGGACAAATTGGAATGCGTGGAGGATGCCTTTGAGAATAACATGGTAGGCTTTATTGTTAATATTTTCACACAGTCTCGCTCAGTCTACTCCTTTTCATTCAATTAAATTAGTACATTTCCACCAAGAGGAATAAATTATTGTGTTAATAAAGACACTACACATAAATGATAACAAACTTGTGTGAAAGAATGAAGATAAAAGAAAAGCAAACAGTGCCACTCTGTCTGACATGCTTCATGCTGTAGCCAGTGCCATAAAAATACGTAAATTCTGAAGATAATCAGAGCCAAGAATGAGGTTCATAATGATTGCTGAAACAGAGCCCCACTCTTGACCCACTTGATCACCTCTTGGAAATAAGTGTGGGATAAAGAAAGGTTTTAAAATGGAAGCAAAAACAACCTGAACCAAAGTGTGACACCCTGGCTCAAGTCAAAAAGTATAGACCTGGGGCTGGGGATATAGGACAGTGGCATAAGCGCCTGCCTGGAAAGCCCAAAGTCATGAGTTTGGTCCCTGGTCAGCAAAAAGAAAAAAAAAAAAGTACAGACCCATGGAGGTTTACCTAGATCAAACAGAAACTTTTACCTTTTTTATTTATGAGATCTCTGTATACTGATTATTGTAATAGTTTTATTTTTCCTTCCTACCAACAATATATGAGAGTGACTTCTAAGAATTTCCCAGATTAACAGTTCCTTATCTGAGTGGGATAAAATTCCATGTCTGCAATGTGTATTTCCAATATTGGATATTAATATTAGCACACACACACATATCATTTGACATATTTATACTTATGGCATAATTTGATAAATTATATATGGATAAATATTGACAGTGGTACTTAATACTGAAATTGATATATTAACTATGGTGTGCCAGGTGTTGTGGAGCACACCTGTAATCTCAGAGCTCGGGAGGCAGAGGCAGGAGGCTCATTGGGTGTTCAAGACCAACAAGGGTTACAAAGTGAGTTCTAGAGTAGCCTGAACTGCATAGTGAGACCCTGTCTCAAAAAGAAATAATAATAATATGATGGATCAAAGGGTCATTAGATTTAATTATGCTACTGAGAATAGCACATGATTTAAACTTTATCATCTTTCATTTTTCAATTTTTAATTTAATGATATGACACCCTGCTGAAATTCCATTATATGAACATGTAGAAAAAGACAGACTATGATTGCTTAGCTGGGGCCAAACCCCAAACCCCAAAGCCTGGACAGACAGGGCAGTACAGGTTGTGCAGTACAATCCCTGCATCCCTGGATGAAATTCTTTGCTAGGTAAACCCCGTGCTTCAGTTCCTGTGAATTTAATTCATACACTTATGATTATCACATGACGGTACTGCACAAGGGAGGCTCTGTATCTGTCATTACAGGATGCCATCCTTCCTATCTCTCGCTATTCCATTACTGCCAGTTGTATTCCATGTATTTTCTTTAGAACCCTAGGAACTTGTGTGAAATCCTGATATACTTGCATATTCAGGACCCTGGTATTTATAGAAGACTGAATTAATACACAAGGTGTGGTGTTTAACTTTTTCTTGTATAAAAGTACTTGATATGCTGGGTGTGGAAGCACACGCCTATAATCCCAGCACTCAGGAGGCTGAGGCAGGAGGGTCATTGCAAGTTCAAGATCAGCCCGGGCTACAAAGTGAGCTCAAGGCCAGTCTGAACTGTATAGTGAGACCCTGTCTCAAAAAAAAAACAAAAAATAAGTAAATAAATAAAAAGTACATGCTATGTACATAAATCTGATAAGCAAGAAATAGATGAAAACCATAAAGAGGGATCCCACTTGCTGATTCCTAGAAGTATTTATTAAATGCTTTTGCACACCAAGAAATCACCAGCAAAGTGAAAACTCATAAATTTAGCCCACTGTCCCACAGAGAAAGGATTTCTATCTAGAACGTATAAAGAATTTTCAAAAATCAAGCCCC